TATTTCAGGGTCATGTATTTTTTTTTCACCTTATTTTTAATATTAAAAGCTTTTCTAATTTTATTATCGTTTTTTGTATCTTTTATGTAATTTATTCTAATCTTTTCTTTTTTTCAAATTCTTTTATATTTTTTTTTTACATATTTAGTCTCTCGCTTTCGTGTTCTATTGTTTTTTTATTTTCTTTCACAACGTAATCCTTATTGGTAGTAGATTAAGGATGAGTTCCAGTGCTCTTGCATTTTCTAAAAACAAAAGTGAGTTGGATTCAGGTACTTCTCGTGATCCGGCGACTCATTTTGACATGTTGGATGTATCACTGGATGCCAGTAGGGTCGTCCAAAAACTTAATGATCTGGCCGATAAAATGAAGCCATCAAGCAGCTCTAAGCCCATCATAAAGCTTTCTATCGGTGATCCGACTGTTGATGGTAACCTTACCCCTCCTGAAACTTTGAAGGAGGACCTGATCGAGATTATCCGAAGCGACATGTACAACGGCTACCCGCCCGTGCTGGGCTACGATGAGACGCGTCAGTCCGTTGCCGAGTATTGTCGTGGTTTCTGCAAAACCCCGGAGCGCAAGGCATTGATTGACTGGAACAACGTCATCATGACCTCGGGTGTCTCGCACGGCATCGAGCTCGCGATCGCCGGGCTCTGCAACCCAGGCGACTGCATCCTGGTCCCGCAGCCGTGCTTCCCGCACTACCAAACCGTCTGCGAGCGGTACCGCGTGGAGTGCCAGGCCTACCCGCTGGATGCGAAGCGGAACTGGCAGTGTAACCTGGAACGCGCGGCCCAGCTTCGGACGCCCCGCACGAGGTTCGTCGTGATCATCAACCCGTCGAACCCTTGTGGGAGCAACTACACCCGTGCACATCTGGAGGAGATCCTCACGTTCTGTGACACGCACAAGCTGGGCCTGCTCTCGGATGAGATCTACGCTGAGATGGTCTTTGAGGGGCCGCCGTTCACCTCCGTCGCGGACTTCGACACCCGCGTGCCGCGGGTGGTGCTCTCCGGCGCCTCGAAGTGGTACGTTTGCCCGGGCTGGCGAATCGGGTGGGCGGTGCTGATCGATCCCGAGGGCGTGGCGCAGGGATGGCTGAGGGGTATGGATCGGCTGGCGCAGCTGATTTGTGGACCCAGCTCGATTTGCCAGGTCGCGGTCGGGCGGGAGTTGCTCAGGAAGTCGCCGAAGCGCACGGAGGAGGTCTGTCAGACCCTCCGCGATGGGTTAAAGGTGTTCGAACGACTGCTGGAGCACGACATTGGTATCTCCTTCTGTAACCCCTGTGCTGCCATCTTCATCATGCTGTGTATCAACTACGACTACTTCAAGGACATTTCCTCTGACATGGAGTTCTACGAAAAATTGCTTGACGAAGAGAACGTGCAGGTCGTTCCTGGGGAAATATTTGGAACCACTGGGTTTGTTCGTGCCACCATATCGCGTCCGAAGCCCATACTTAATGAGGCGGTAGATCGTATTATCTTGTTCTGTGAACGCCATAAGAGATCTTAAAATGAGATCACAGGACTAGAGGGATCTCCTTGCGATATTTCGCCCTTATATATATATATACTCCTAAGCATATTGTTATATGCGTTAAATTTTCTATTAATTTTTTCTTTTTGCAGGCATAAAAAGCAATGTTGTCTTCTTCATTTTATTGAATGAATTTTGATTTCCCTTGGCCATCTTAATTGTGCAAAAAGATTATCTAACTTAGTCTAAAGGATCGAATATGGATATGGGAAAAATTCTCCTGGATACGTCTGCTTAACATCCTCTTCAAGAAAAAAAAGATTAATTAAAGCGATTAAATGATTGAAGGGAGAGAGGATATATAAATAATAATAGTTAATGATTATGAAAATAGAAAGGAGCATTTCTTCTTTTTTTCTTAGTTTTAGCTCTGCTTTTGTCATTCTTCCTTATGTTGTTTCAAATCGGTAAGGATGCGTTTTTGAAATCATTCAATAATTTTGCTATCAGTTATTGAATTAGCTTTTTTGCTTTCCTTAGTTTTTTTTCTTTCAGGAGATGCGAGGAAATTTTTTGAGAGCTGCGTAGGGGCCATATCTGATTTTCTCATTGCTCCTGCTTAACCTATAGACGAAGAGGAAAATGCTTCCCTGTTTTTATAACCTATATATTTCTGTAAATTTATGCGAAAAATGCTTTTGGTCGTGTAGCACCATTTAAAAGTGAAACCCATCCATAATAAATACACTACTTGGAGTATTGTTATTTTACACGATTCAAATATTTTTCACATATTTTCACTGCTATATGCTTAGTTTATATCACCTGGGAGTTATTACTACAATAATTATTATGCTTTTAGACTGAAGTCTCATGCTTTTCTGTCTTTCTGTGATCGACCCTGAGCCATTCTAAATATTGAAAGGCAACAAAAAGTTGTGAAATCAGGACCAAAGTGTATATGTGTTAATTTCATAAGGTAGACACAGCTTTTTTGAAAAAAGCGCCGATTCTTTATCTGTGAATTATTACCCTATTTTTGGAGAAAACAGTTTTATTATTATCCCTAATCATAAGGAAAAGGAAAAACAGTGATTGACTTACTTTCTGGCAAAACTTAATATCTGTCAAAAGGAAAAAACGTCGGACGAATTGATATTCGAGTTACATTCATGTTCGTATTGAAGTGTTATGTATATTGAAGCTATGAATGTATTATAGCTTCTATTACGATTACGATGATTTTCATCCGAATATTTTTATAATTATATATATATAATCAATTCGAATTGCACGTTTACTTTATGGACAGAAAATAGTTAGCTTAGTACAAGAAGCAATCGAAGAAATCGGTGTAATTTTAACTAATTTCTGTTGAGGATCGGGAAAGGTTAATATATATTTATATGCGCTAAGTACTCTAATCTGTTGTATTAGTATGTGTGGAATAAATGGAAAAGATAAATTTGAAAAATATCATAACATGATTCTTTCTTAAATCTTATTATCTCATAACTTCTAATTTATTTAATGAGCATAGCAAAGGTGCGAAGTAATAATGCTATGTATGAGTCGAAATCTTCATTTCCATTTTCATTTCTACCCCATGAACTTTTATAATTTATTTTCTTTCAATGGAATGAAAAGATTCAACGAGGGTTGGCGTGGAAGTGGATAGCATGGCAGTTTTGATTAATTGTCATTTCTGTTTCCTCTATTGCCCAATTAACTGCGTTGACCTATTGGTGTCCTTTTTTGATGCCATATATAACTAGATAAACATAAATATATACAACAAATGGTTGGGTTGATTATACCTCTCCTAGGCTCATGCCGGGGACCGTACTCTCCAAAATTCTTCTCCACACTTGTATTGCAGCATACACAGCATTGGACACAAATGCATTCAATCTGAGGAGGAAAGAAGGGGCGCTGTACGGCGTTGGGTGAGCTTAAAAAGGTACTCCCCTTGTGTTAGGGTTCAGCGAAAGCAATACTGTCATGACCTCGGGCGTCAGCGTCTTCGTCTATGAATCCTAGGAGGGATTCAACTATGCTGCTGCTGCTGCTATAGTCGGTGAAATTCATGTTGTTTGCATGAGTTCACTTTCTTTAAAAAAATAAGCATATGGGTAATATCGAAGATTTAAGCTTTGCCTTTTAACGCATGAAATAGTCGATGCTTAGAGGCTTCCTCTTTAGTTCTGCAGCTCCTCCCTGATTTCCCTTGACCCCATTGGATGATCTCATTTCTTTCGTAAGTAAGTAAGTAAATCAACAACTACCCATGATTGAAGTTTCTGAACGCCGTCCGGAGCGTGAGAAGCGGGGTTCATCCTGCAAGAGCTCGAGGAAACGTTCCAAAAAGGTCTGGCATCGAAAGGATCTGATCTCGGTGGGGTTCGAGCCCATCACCGGGGTCATACCGCCCTGTTCGGATGGTGTCGAGGCCGCCGGTCCTTTTTTCCAGCCCCATCGCATCGTGGAGCGACGGCAGATCCTTCTCGCCATGGAAGAGGCGTTGCGGGCGTCGGACCCCTCTCAGCGCCCGGTTTTCCACCTGGACCTCCCAAGGGGGAGGCGGGGACACGCGGACGGGCGGGGCTCCCAGGTGTCCCAACTAGGGGATTTTCACAAGTCCCACATGGGGGCGTGGACTCCCCTCTTTGGTGAGAAGCCGAATGGGTTGCGGCCTGCGGGTTGTGCCAGCGCGGTCGACCCCGGTGCGACGGCGAAGGGGCCCTCGTCCTCGGGCCTCCCGATCGAGGCCGGGGCCTCTGACGCGACCTCGCTAAGCGGCCTGACACGTTCCCAGTCATCGCCCCTGATCATTTTGGACGAAGAGGAAGCCGTGTTGGTGCCACTCCCTTCTTCCTCAAGAAGGAGGCAGCACGGGAAGGAGGAGGCGGTGGACGATGCCGCTCGAGAGAAACATGAGGGAATGGAAGGGGTGGGGTCGTATGGATGGCGCTCCAGTGGTGTGCGTTGGGTTCGCCTGAGGAAGAATCTGCACTCCGTGTTCAAGGGAACAAACTCTACCTTTGCTCCTCCGGCGGCACCGTGCGTGCATTTTTCGCCGTTGATATGGGGGGAGGACCAGATTTGTCGTCTTGCCATTACTCCCACATCCCGCGCCGGTTTTAAGCTGCTGGGAATGTGATGACCGGCTATATTTCTACCACTATGCGGCTCAGCGAACCTGAGGAATTCCCTAGGGGCGGTACTCCTTTTTCTTGCTGAATAAATATGTTGTAAAACTTATATGCGCATATGAGGAACAATTGTATTTCGTGTGCAATTTTCTGTACCTTTTTGATCATATGGTCTAAGTCGTCTTTCCTCGTTTCCTCCACCCTTTCGATATTTAAGGTTGGGATACAGAACTGAAATAAATCCGAGAAAAAAACGGATACACCAGTTTTTGAACAAAGAAAGCACTTTGCACCCTTAGAATATGAGAGGATCAGAAGAAGAAAGCGGTAGACAAGCCAATATAATGATGAACACCTTTTCAAATCGATTCGATCACCCTGTGGAGGGAAGCATGATTGGAGGGCAAACCTCATCAAAAATCCAGGGTCCGTTACCTACTTCTGCCACGTCTGTTCTCGCAAAAGGTGGGTGTGTTCCCTCCTCTTTTTCCATCAATCCTAACGAGGAAGTGTCGCCTGTCAGCCCGCAGACGTCAGTTTCCTCAACTTCTCAGGCCGTCTGCCCTCCTGTAGAGGAGGCTACCCGTGAAATACCTCAACGGGATGAGGGTTCGTATCCGCATTGCCCGATCTACATCCCCTCGAAGGGCCGCTATGACCAAACTCGCACTACGATGTCGACGCTCATGCGGGATCTCGTGCCTTTCACGCTTGTGGTAGAGCCCGATGAGGTCGAGAGCTACACCCGCATGCTAGATTGCCTTGTGATGGAATTCCTCAACAGTTATGAAACTACGCGTGCACTTGCCGCCGTCGACGGTGGGGCCGAGCAAAGTCATGGAGATACGATAGCTGCTGGTGATCAAGCGCCAGACAGCGGGTTGGTTCCCGCTCCTCCTCTCCTTCATTCACAGAGTATCTCTAAACATAACATCAGTGAGGAGAGCGATACGAAACCGTTGTCGTTGTTGTTGCCATCGCCGCAGCGCTGTGCTTGTTGCAACGTGCTCACCCTTGCAGAAGAGAGGGCGTGGCCTTTCGCGAGGCGCATCGCGGAGCTTTACCACCACGGCTACCTCTTCCGCCCCCATGTGGGTGATGGGAAAAGAGAAAATAACTCCTCCGTCGATCCCGCCGCCGCTTCCATACCTCAACGTGTTGCTTCGGCAGCTTTCACGTTAACCGACGTCGACGCCGTGCGGCGTATTTTCAAGGTTGTAGCCCTGCCAGAAGGGGGGCATGGGGTGTCGTACGTCCGAAATTACATTCTGCATGTGCTCGTGCCTCAACAGATGGTAGGATGCGGGGTCGATCGGACGGGGAATATCGAGGAACTCGGGCTTTTTTCTTCTCCTACGGCCCCAACCCTCTCGGCTGCGTTGCCAACCCAATCTCACCCCGCGAGCGACGCAAGTCGGATCTTTCTTCCCAACAGCACGTTGAAAAGCTTCGAGCTCGACCCTAGCGTGTATGAGGCGGTGGATCTCTTGCAGGGAGCAAATGGATCGGCCTCCCCACTATTAGCTCAAGCCTCAGAAAGTGCACAGTCGCCGTCTTCGACCCCATTCGCGCCGCCACACGGCCTTTACGGCTATTACTGGGTTATGGACGATGATATCTCTACCTTTTCGCATGCGGATGCTCCAAATAGAAGAAACAAGCGCATATCTGCCCGTCAAATGATGCGCAACGTCGAAGCTCGGATCCTACACCTTAATCAGAACGCGTCCAACCCCAATCTCCTTCCCATCTCGAGTAAGGAAAACGGGATCGCGCCTTCTTCATACGTACGGAAAGCTAACCCCAAAATTCCAATTTTCACTTGCAAGGAAGACGTACTTGCCAGTAACTGGAAGCCTGTGCATAGAACCAGGATGGCAAACCAGACTGCCTCCTCGTCTTCAGGTGTTGGGGATTCAAAGGGGGTGACGTCAAGTACGAATATAAATAATAGTAACCATAATGCTAGCACTATTAACGCAGATGGTCGTAGTGATGGGACTGATGGTGATGTGAAACCGAAATCAACGGTTTTGAACATCAACAACTACCCCTACGTGGCATCCACAGCGTGTTTTTCCCTGGAGTACAGCCGGTTTTCCTTCACCTACGATAACACGGCTTTGGCAGTGAACAGCTACAATAATATTGCGTGTCTTTTTAACTATCGCCTTCTACACAACCCCACGCAGACTCTCTTCTTTCCTCCGCACGCCACCGGTGGCGTGCGGAGCGCAGAGGAAACGCTCATGGGGATTCCCATCAACGCATCCCCGGAGGAGGAGGAGGAGCCACATGTCAGCAGCAAAGCGGTGGCTAACGGTGGCCATCCGAGTTATCGCTATTACATGCCTGGATCGATGTTATGGTATCGCTTTGTGGTACGTGAGGACTACGACTTCACGCTACAGCTCATCGCCCGAGGGATGTACACGTTGCGATTTAGAGATCTCAGCTTTGAGGTTCCCCAGATGGGGAAGGTGCGTGGGGGGATGACGACGTACTACCGAACGTGTGGGGAGGATATTAAACGTCAGAACCGCCTCTTTGTAGCGCAATGGCCGGCCGTTGCGCAGGCCTGGCCGAAAGGCCGCAAGGAAACTGCCCGAGATGACATCCGCGTGCGCTGGGATCTCCTCCACCCCTCCCGATCTCGCCATCCAGGGGCTTTTTTGTTTCTTAAGGATCCTCTCCCTCAGCTGCAGCAAACCGCACCCCCACCTCCTCCACCCCCATGCAACGTTATTGAAGAACTTCCTCCGGTGAAAGAAGTTATTAGCCATCTAGACCGCGGCAACAATGGTAATGAAAAGGATGAAGATACATTGCTGAAGTCTTCTGGCGTGAAACGGGGCCGCCCGGCCTCCTCCTCCTCGTTTTCTTCTTCCTCGTCTTCGTCGTTGTCGTCGTCGGGGAGTGAAACAGAGGAAGGTTCCCGCGCGAGCTCCGCGCGGCGTGAGGTTCCCGCCGTGGCGGTAAAGCCGGTGGATTCTCTCCCCCAGCCCTCTCTTCCACCTTCGTCGCCTCCTCTACCTCCCCCACCTCAACCTACTTCTTCACCTCCCCTTCCCCCTCCCCCTGCTCCTGCTCCCTCTGCTGCCACGCAAAACGTGCTTCGTGTGGATCACAGCAGCCGTTGGAAAGGTTATGCGGTGGAGCGGTGGCGGAATCTCGACCCCACGGAGGCTGCCGCCCTCGGGCTCCGCCTTCTTCCCCCGGAAAGTCTCCATATCGGGCAAACCGTCGCGATTGTTCCGCCGTTGCTATCGCAACAACCCTCTGTCGTGTTGGCGACGTTGATTGAGAAGCAGCCGAACGTCGATGGGGAAGGGGATCCACGATGGACGGCGGTCGTGCAGCGGGTGCGGGAGATCCCGGTGCTCACCGTCTCCCATTGTTACGCGATCCCTGATCAGGGCTTGCAACGTGCCGCCGCCGCGGTGGATGCGTTTTTCGCGAAGCTGTGGGCGAATGTCGCACCCGTGGCGTCGTCGTCGTCGAAGTTTTTAGATGATTAATATTTGACGGTCGTCTAGCGCAACTAAATAGAAAGTGTGTGGGTGTATGGGAAGGGAAGGGAGAAGAGCAAATGCAGGTGTATATTGGGGTATATCTCTCTGCATTGGGATATTAGAGTCCTAACATTTGTGATTGTCTTCTGCGAATGGATATCTATCTATATAAATGTTGTAGGTATATATATCTGTATATTTGCATTATGAGGATGACCATTAAAAAAATCACGATAATTTACGCACTTAACGTACGTACCCGTGTTTTTTTCCGACCAAAAAAGCAGTGGTTTAGTAACTGCCCTGATTTGTTTCCCACATGAGGTCATTTCCATGCTGTATATTATTCTTTAATTGATATTGAAAATTTTGTTTCCCACACTATAATCCTTTTTTATCCATTTTGGTCTTGTCTTTTTTTCATTTTCCATAAGATTATTTATTAATACTCAATTATTACTATATATTTATCATCAATTACTATTGTTAAAATTTAACATCAAAGATGTTTCACGGAGTGCCTAAGTTGATGCCGACGAATGTGATCCGACGTCGTAATGCCGACGAGGATAACGTAGATGTAAATTCTACCGCCGACCGTTTTCGGGATCGCTTCGAAAAAGCCACCGCACAAGATCGCAAGGAGGAGGCGACCACGATGGTGAACGAGTACTACGACATGGTGACCGACTTCTACGAATTTGGATGGGGCCAGAGCTTCCATTTCGCGCCGCGCTACATCCAGGAAACTTTCTACGAGTCGATCATGCGGCATGAGTTTTACCTTGCCTACACGGGGGGGTTTAAGGAGGGCGATCATATCGTGGATGTCGGCTGTGGCGTCGGGGGCCCTGCCCGCAGCATGGTGCGTTTCACCCGTTGCAACGTCACTGGCATTAATAACAACAACTATCAAATCAAACGCGCACGCGCGCACGACGCGACTTTTGGCATGTCCGGCCATATCAACTACGTCAAGGCGGACTTCTGCAACACCGGCCTCCCAGACAACTCCTTCGATGGCGCCTACGCGATCGAGGCGACCTGCCACGCGAAGGATAAGGTGGAATGCTACAGCGAAATTTTTCGCATCATAAAGCCCGGTACGGCCTTTGTGGTCTACGAATGGTGCACGACGGATAAATACGACCCCACGAACGAGCGCCATCGCCAGATCAAACATCACATCGAGCTCGGCGATAGCCTGCCGGATTTGGAGTCGACGCAGACCGCGTTGGCGGCGATGAAGGCGGCGGGGTTCGAGATCGAGGCCTCGGAGGACCTCGCGGCGAGTTTCGCGGCGAGCCCGTTGAAGAATACCCCTTGGTATCACGTCTTGCAGGGGAACTACACATCCCTGGAAGGGTTTCGCAGGACTCCGATCGGGCGTTTCACCACCTTGGTGATGTGTCGTGTGCTGGAGACGATCGGGTTGGCCCCTAAAGGCGTCTGCAAGACGTTGGCGATCCTTGAGGAGGCCGCAGTGCACCTTGTCGAAGGAGGGGAAAAGGGGATCTTCACGCCCTGCTTCTACATGCGTGGCCGCAAGCCCCTCAAGAGTAAATAGAGGGTAGCCAAGAGCCGAGAAAGGGAATATTAAATAGAAATGAAGTGATATTTCTCGCTTCTTTTTTTTGTTTTTGCATCTATAAAAGTACATTGTAGTGGTATAACTTCAGTAAATGCCATTTTGGCAAGATTTATTTTGAGCAACTTCTTTCAGGAGCGGCTAATTTTTTTTTCAGAGCAGAAAAGGGAAATTTAATAAAGGAATAGTCAATATATACATAATATTTCGCATTATTTTGTTTAGGGTTTATGAGAAATTATTTGGTTGTTCTTTTTTTTATTTCAGCATTTTACGTTCTAATTACTAACGATGGTCTATTTTTGTAACCATTCTGTTACCATTTATTTTCACAATTGACTATTTACTATCTTAACTTTACTAATTTATTACTAAATGGCTTATAGAAGGATCAAAGGATGTGATTTGTGCGTAAGAAGAAATATTTTCATTATTTTGTTTTTCTTTGCTTCAGGTAGCCATTTTTTTTTGGATCTCAAAGGGATGAAGGGGGACACTGGAATATCTTTTTCGCATGTAGACCTTCCCTTTAGAATAAATATATACTTAAACGCTGTATGTTGAAGTAAACAATGGATACCATAAGGAATGGGTACCACAATTATATTGAATATATATCAATATAAGCTCTTGTAATCATCTCCTTTCTCGGACAATTTTTAAAAAATCTTTTAGTTTTGCAATCCTTATAAAGTGTGATCGGAACTCCATTAAGTCTTGAAACTCAAGTGGTAAGACTTTTGCCATGTTGTTGTGTCATCCACCTCCTATTTACGCTTCATCTCTTTTGATATGAGTAAATTTAGACTTATTTCTTTCACTAATTTGTTTCAATTCAAATAAAACATGGATGAATGAATTTGCATTTAGCGATCAAATCTTTCTTTTGACGATTACACCCCCCAATTAGAAAGCGTAGAATATTAAAAAGCGACGTAAAAGTAAGAAAAAGCGAAAAGGATGTGCTGTACGGCCTCCAATATGGTTCTAGACGACATGGAGCAGCATCTCGTTAGCGTTGCCTTTAACTCCATGAATCCAAACGCGGAGGGGGTTGTAGCTCTTCGCGAGATTTACGAGCGCTTCAATGCCGTCGAGCATCCCCGTGTGAAGGAGGGCGTCATGGCACCTGGCATGGCGCGCGATCGCCTGCTCTACCTCTTTGGCAGCTGTGCAAACGAGCACGACGGCGGCATCACCTTCGATGAGTTTATGACTTTTCACCATAAGCTCATTCAGGAGGCCTGGGATGAGCGCGTGAGCGACGTGCAGGCGTTCATCCGACAGACTATTATGAGGTTATGGCGGCTAGGGAACCTCCTCCTGCCGACTGGGATTCGTCCAGCCTTCCCCATCGATCAAACCCCACGTGCGCTCTACGCAACAATGCTGATGACGCTGCTTTGGGCGGAAAAAGACCCTCGAAACGACGGGAAATTCATCATTAAGGGGATAAAAGATGTAGTACGGCCTATTTTCCGCCGCGGCGACCTTCCCGATGAGCTTCAGGGACACTTTGCGTATCCGTCGGAGACCTCCGACCTGGCGGTGGAGTATTTGCCAACCCAGATTGCCATCAAGCGCTGGCTTGATTTTGTCTGGGAGTACGATAAAGGGAAGTATTGCGGGGTGCAAGGGATTGTCTCCGCGCAAGTTGATTTAGACGTCTTACCACCCTCTTTGCGTCAGTTTATTGTGGAGCATAGCACGGCGGTCGAGAAACTACGCTGTGAAAAGTTTGTTAAAACAAGCATCAGCGAAAATCCTATGTACAAGTGCACCAATCAGGTCTACGGTGTTGGTTCCATGGAGGAATGTCGTAAAGTGCACCAATGGAAGGCCAAATCACTCATGGGTAAGCAGTATGGGATTCAATTTTATGGGTTGCAGAAGGGGATACATTCAAAGATGGGACCTACCATTTGTCACGCCGCTACAAGGATCAATTTGTGATTCAGAAAAGAACGATTTGGGCTCATATTTAGAGAAATTATGTCAGGG